ACATACACACATACATGCACACATGCATGCATGCATGCAGGCAGGCAGGCAGGCAGGCATGTGTATATATGTACGTACGTAGGTACGTAGGTATGTATGTATGCATGCATGTGTGTGTATATATATATATCTGGATGCATGCATTGATGCAAGTAGTAACTAGCCAGTAGGTGCAACATAACACATTCCAAGTGCAGCGCACTCCAAAGCAGTGTTGTAAGGCATCGGAGCTGTCATTGGTGTGGTCTCCGGGCAGCCATGCATCTTGGCAATGCACCTCTGCATCAAACTACAACTTAGCCCTTGTTTTGCGCAGCCAGTCATCCGGAAAATCACGGACATGCCGAGCAGCTGGAGTTCATCCAAATCTGGGGAGTCTTTGTTGGTGCGTCGCAGAAACAACATCGGAGGAGTTTAAGATCCGTCGCAAGCTGGAAAACCTATTCCACGGGATGATGCCAAAATGCGGACATGAGAGGCATCCGGGGTCGGGAGAAGCAAAAGGATCCATGTGAATACGGGGTACATATTTTGGTATTCTAAAGTACCCCTAACCCCCCAGGTACCTACTATATAGGGTACTAGAGCCCCTAGGGCCCTATATGGTGGTACTTGGCGGGTTAGGGTACTAGAAGTACTTCAGATTATAGAGATCCAGGGGTCCCAGGATCTGAATCGTGAGGAATTCGGGTTTTTGGTGTAGGATTTAGGGGGTTTAGGGTTTAGGGGTTTAGGGGTTGAGGGTGTAAGGTTTAGGGTTTAGGGGTTTAGGGGTTTCGGGTGCAGGGTTTAGGTTTTAGGGGGCGCCAAACTTGTTGGACCTCATGTCTCAGCAGTTGAGCACAGCAGATGGCTTAAACTCTTTTCCTGAAACATATTTTTAGGGTTTCGGTGATAGTCATCATTCGAGGGGGCCTGGGGCAGAGCATATTAAATTACCTCATCCCCAGAATTGGATCAACTTCCAGGCATTGCAGCCAGCTGGAGCGGCTTTTGCGCGCAGCCTTCGTCCTAAATCTAAAGCCTACGGGTCTTTATCCACATTACCTGGCCGCTAAAGTTAGTAACACAGGAACCCCCCACGGACGGCACTTTGTTTACATGTACAGGTAGAGGTACATGGACCCTTACTGTAGGGAAAGCTTGGTCTCGGCATACATCGCTTGAGATGTTGTGCAAACGAGAAGTTGCATCCTTCCATATTCCTTTAAGGCAGATTCTGAACCCACCTGAAACCCCAAACCCTAATTAACCCCGAAACCCCAAACCCGCACCAAAGCAAGAACTGAGCACCGTTGTCTCTGAAACTCTTCAACCAGACTCGCTCAAACGCCAGTCAAACTTCTGAAGGATGTGTATAGTTCTCCAAGGCTCCCTTTCAGGGTCCCTTTTGTAAGGGTGCCGTACTATTTTGGGGACCGAAAAGGACCCTAATTTCGAGAACATATAAGAATTATGTTCGAGTCCAGCCTCGGCAACCAAAAAGCCTACTTATTTGTAGGGTCCGTATGAACTCTTCCTTATTAGGCCATATACACAGAACCTACAAACAAGTAGACTATGACATATCTCAGACCTTAGCCCACAAATTTAAGGCTTAATTAGGGTTCAGGGTTTATAGGGTGGGTGAGTGATTTAAGGCTTATGGGCTTAGGGTTTAGGGTTTAGGTGTTCAGGGTTTAGGGTTATTGTTGAGGGGCCCAGCTCTGAATCCTACAAAAGACGCAGCTAGCAGTCGCCACACTCAACCTGCGCATCAGCGCCATCTCTTCTCGCGGAATCCGGGAATTGTGCATACACCACCACGATGCTGCAAATGAAATTCCTTGATGGAGGGGTTGAAGGTTCCCGAGTAGCCCCTAAATAGTAAGGGTACCCTTTTTCCCTACTCTTTGGTTTTACTAAGGGAACCTCAAAAGAAAAAGGGCAAGAGGGTACTACTGGGGAGCCTAGGGTTGAAGTTGGGGTTTAAAGTTTTCGGCTGTTTAGGCGTAGAGGTTGTGTTTAGGGCTTCGGGTGGAAGGTTGGGATTGATTATGGTTTCGGTTTGGGGCTTTTTAAAGCTCAGTTCTGGCTGAGGGTGAAAAGGAGCAGGAAAGTCACAGAGGAAGAATATCACCATGCACGCCGATGGGTCTAGGTTTTAGTGATATTGATACTGGAAGCGACACAGAGCACAGTGAGAGCAGTACTAAACATACCCATAAAGTACCAGCTCATAAGCTGATATGTTCTCTCTCTGGATAGTAGGCCCGAGGCTGAACATCACAAAGCACAAAACCACGTCTTGCCCGAGTCACGACACCATCGTCAGAATGTAAGGCACGCAGTAGACGCTCCTCGCACAAGTGGGGCATCATGAACTTGAAGGACTGTTGAAAGCATGGTTGCAGACATGTCTTTCCCTAAACCCTAAACTCTAAACCCCCAAC